CTGACCTGGGTGCTTGGGCATCGTGGTGTTGAAAATGAGACCAGGAATAACGGGACAGTGGGGGCTGCGGCACAGGGACATCTGCCACTCTTCTCACTGTTCTTCTCTAACGCAAGCACGGCTGCGTGGCTGCCCAGGGACAGCATGACCTCTCTCTCCCCTCCTCCTCTCTGGGGCCGGGGCGGATGGGTGAGGCAGGCCCCTCCACCTCTCACTCTGGCGCCTTTCTGTGGCCACTTGGCTGCGGTTCCCCCTCCACCTTCTGCCTGGCAGGAGCGTGCCCTGTGGCTCTCTTCCCAGGCCCTCTGCCGGCGCGTTCCCAGTGGGTGCCGAAAGCATTTGGCTGAGCTTGCTCCTTTTTTTCAGCCCTGGCCTTGGTCTGCACCCCTGACCGGGCGAGCAGGCAGCACAACAAGCCCTCAGCTTGTTCATGCTTTCCAGCTCCTGCGGCTTTGCCCTTGTGGAGCTGGCTCTTCCCGACTCAGCACGGAACCCAAATGCCTGACTTAAAGAACAGGATGCAGTGGGATTCTAGCATTGCCCTGGTCTCAGGAGCATACAGTGTAGTGATTTTTAACCTTTTCCATCTCATGGCACACATAAACTAATTCCTAAAATTCTATGGCACACCAAAAAATATATATTTTGCTGATCTGACCAAAAAAAAGGCAAAATTTTGATTCATTCACACCAGACAGCTTTTGCCATTTTTTAATTTGAGAATCTAAAGGTAAAGAGGTCAGTGCCGCTGACTAGTGGGGTATTGCATGTTTTAAAAATCAGTGGCACACCGGTTGAAAATCACTGACAGTGGATGCTCAGTAAATGAGTGCTGATGGGATGGACAGATGGATGGAGGCATGAAGTATAATCTCTTCTGGTTTTTAAATGACGTTCGACTAGGTTCTGGGTTTTGACTCTCCAGCATCCCAGATCCTTCCATTGTACATGGTCCGGCGCTTATGCAAACTGTTGGCCCACTTTCCGTGCCCTACGGTTCGTTAGCATTTTTACAGCAGTGCAGTCTGGCTTCTAAACTGGTAAAATTTACCGGGTCTCTGGCCACCGATAAGCTCAGTTCACGTCGAGGTTTTGAATGAGGGTGGGAGGTTGGGTAAATGTTAGAAATTGCAAATCCTGATTCAGCTCTCAGATCCAGATTGCACAAGAACTTTCCAACCAGGTTTTAAACAGAGCATGTTGATTAATGTAATTTTCTGGTTAAGCACATTGACAACCCCTGCAATTTAAACCTGTTTTTAAAAATCTTTCTAAAATGTTTTTCTTTACTTAGAAGTACTCCTAAGTGAAGTCTGCTGAACATCGTTTATTCTTTCTGTGATAGCCTGAGGTGGTTCCTTCCCCAGGTCAACATGATGCACATCAGTTATTGGAAGGTGGATAGGAAGGGTGTGGGAGTCAGGGAGAAAGGCGTTCCCTGTGGCTGGCTGTGGGCGGGGAGCCGTGTGAGGTAACGCAGAAGTGGTCCCATGGGGCCAGATGGTGCATCAGGTTCTGGCTTTGATGCTTGATAGGCAGTGGATGTTTTGAGCAAGGACATGGCATAGGAAATGTTCTTCAAGAAGTGGTGTTGCCAAACTGGTTTGGCTCAGTGGATAGAGCGTCGGCCTGTGGACTGAAAGGTCCCAGGTTCGATTCTGATCAAGGGCATGTACCTGGGTTGCAGGCACATCCCCAGTAGGAGGTGTGCAGGAGGCAGCTGGTCGATGTTTCTCTCTCATCGATGTTTCTAACTCTCTATCTCTCTCCCTTCCTCTGTAAAAAAAAAAAAAATCAATAAAAATAAAAAAATAAAAAGAAGTGGTGTTAACATTGATCTCACAGGGAGGAGCTCGTCTAGGGTTTCCGACAAGAGTCTCCCAACAGGTTAACCAGAGTGAGCATGGGAAGGAGGGAGTGGGGGGAGATTTTGAGTTGATAGAGCAGAGGGAACTTGGTGACTGGTTGGGGAGGGGAGTGAGACAGGGAGGAATCAAAAATGTCCCTTGGGCTGAGTCTGACTGAGTAGGAAGATAAGGGTCATTGGAATGAGGAGATGGGCTGATGGTAGTTTGGGCATCTATTCAAGTCCTGCCTCTTCTCTTCACCTGTGTTGGACTTTGGGGTCAGTGAGCCTCTGGATCAGTTGCCAGATCTCTGAGTAGAAGGTCATCTCCTTCTTGGACTTGAGGCCAACCTCTCTCACGTGGAAAGGAACATTCAACACCCACTGCTGCTGCTGCTGGAAACGGACATGGACCGTGCTGCTCAGCAGCGTCCTGCTCCTTGTTGTGTTCCTGTGAAAGCAGCTTTATCTACAGCCCTGCGGGGCTCATGCAGATTGCGTAACGGGCTTGCTCATTAGGGCACCACATGTGAAACCAGAGAGAATATCCCACAGGCTGAGGTCGGGCTTCTTACAGGAGGTGTACCTGCCTGAGCGCTGGTTGGCCACAGCTGTTGCTAGGCCGAGGCCATCTTAAGCAAAATTAGAAAGTCATTATGAGCTGGTTATACTAGACTGCCTTCTTTTTTTTTTTTATGTATCTCTCCTATTTCATCTTCATTTTGCTGTTTCATAGCTGTGGTAGGAATAAGCAGCTTTGGGTTAAATTTAGTAGAAATGCCATAAAAGTGCACTGTCGATTTATATGTAGTTCTCAGATATTGTCTAAGAAAGAAGGAGAGAATCTGTATCTCAGAAGAGAATTGCATATTGAAAGAGTTTCCTGCTGTGGAATCGCGGTCTCTGCAAATCAGTGATTTTTGGTCTTTGTCCAGTTTTTCTTGAGAGGATTTTTAGTGAAGTGATTATTTTGTAGACTTGAGATGAACTGTGGCGGTGGAACAGTCAGTTACCTCTCTCATGCCATCTTGGTGCAGTTCTGTGCCCGGGGCGGGGCGGAGGCCTCGGTGGTGAGCTCAGGGCCCGCAGCGCCCTCCTGCTCAGCCTCCGCTCGCAGGATTCCAGATGAGTCAAGACAAGTGCTGGCTTGGGAAAAAGGAAACGCCACTCCTGCCAGCCTCCTGGAGACTGCTTCTATTTTGGCCTGTCCCGTGCTCCCTCCATTCGCGGAGAATGTTTTGAGAAGAGGGTGGGGGGAAGAAAGCCTCAGCCAACCCTGAGAAAGACGACAGACACGGTGAGCGCAGCAGCTGCTGGAAGCGCGTTGAGGCAGACTGCGCAATCTGCCGGCCCCTTCCGTGGATCTCGCATGCCATCCTGCAGTTGGCATCGCTGCTGCCAGGAACCGCCCCCTCCTTTTCCTCTGTGACGGCAGGGAGAGATGGCTCCTAGCAGCGTGAACCCTTCCTGCCTGACCACCTAGTTCCTCTCCCCAGGTCCCTAGGCCACGCTGGGGCCACAGAGATGTTAGAATGAAAGAATCTTAGAAGTGGGAGGGGCCCGAGGGAACTTTCAAAAGAAAAGCAGCTCTGAGTCTCCCTGGATTAGCCACCTGTGAGGGTTGGAGCGCTCCTTTGTATATGAAGAAAGATGACCGCGAAGGAAGCCTGCCTTTACCTACAGCCCGCCCTCCCTCCTTTGGCCTTCTTCTCGAAGGCTGCTGGTAACTGCGAATCTGATGAACAAAGGTTATTGGAACCCCTCCCGGTGACAGAGTTGCATTTTAAAAGGAGATCATTCCCTAGCTGTTCGGAGAGAAGGCAAGTCCAAGGAGGAGATTACTAAACGACACACAGGTGGGAAGTAGGGCATGGCTGCGGAAAGGACTCCGGGGCTGGGCAACGCGGGCTCACAGCCTGACTCCGCCCTCGCTGGCTGCGGACGGCACCTCTCCAGGCTGGCTCCTTGTCTGTAAAATAGCACAGCGCCCGCACAAGACCATTAGCACCCAAGCCGGTTGCAACCGGTCATAAGTTCTCCTTTCAAATTTCTCCCTCCCAGGACCCCCTTCACCACCGTGTGCAAGGTCAACCACACTCATAGGTCTGTTGTCGAATTACGAACGTAATTTGTTGCTGTATCTGGTTTAGTTGTAAAATGTTCTCATCTTGGGGTTTTTAGAAACATTTATTATTTTTGTGTGAAATATATCATATACACAGAAAAGCTCATGAAACACATATGTACCAGTTAGCAAACAGTTGTAAAGGTGTCGCCCATGTAACCACTACCCAGGTCAAGAAAGACAAGTCCACTGAACCGGTTTGGCTCAGTGGATAGAGCGTTGGCCTGCGGACTCAAGGGTCCCGGGTTCGATTCCGGTCAGGGGCATGTGCCTTGGTTGCGGGCACATCCCAACTGGAGGGCGTGCGGGAGGCAGCTGGTTGATGTTTCTCTCTCATTGATGTTTCTGACTCTCTATTCCTCTCCCTTCCTCTCTGTAAAAAATCAATAAAATATATTTTAAAAAAAGAAAGACAAGTCCAGTCCTGCTTTAAAATGGTATGCAGAGATAAGGCCGTGCTGTCCCCACGGGTCATTTCTGGCTATGGCATCTGGGGAGGTGCTACTGGTATCTGGCAGTAGAGGCCAGGAATGCTAACACAAGGCAGCTAGCGTCCAACAAAGAATTATCCAGCCCCAAACGTCAGTAATGCCGCCAACACCCCGCTGTAACACAATCTGACCAAACGTTATTGCCCGGTGTTTAGAAACGCAGCTCCAGGAAAAGATTCGATCCTCCAGAACAAGCTTAGATTTACGTAATGCATTGTTCTTAGTAATGATGTCCCAGTCCACTAGTTGGCCGGGGGGCGGGGGGAGCGGGGAGGAAAGGCCAGCCAGCATTCCGCGTGAAGGATCTGAAGTTAATAGACCTTCTAATGATATAGCATTGACCAGCTTGTCTTCTGCCTTAATCACCTCTGTCAGTTTGCACCAATCTTGGGAATCAACTCCTGTACAAGTTAGTCCAAGCCAGACGTGTTCCCTTTCACGATTAGTTAAATCGTGAGTAAATGGAATATTGAACTCTTTCCAACAATTTGTCCCAGCCGCTGTGCACTGGAAACCCACGGTCTGTTCTTTATTGCAGGACTTGGTCGTTCGTATTGTTTTCATTCTTGGCAACCTGACAGCGAAAAACAACCAGGCGCGTGAGCAGTTTTTCAGAGAGAAAGAGAGCATCCCGACCCTGCTGTCGCTGTTCCGCGCCTTCTACGAGCTAGACCTGCATCCCGAGAGGTCAGCAGGAGCTGGAGATGAGCAGCCCACGCCACAGAAGCCGCGGGCCCAGGTGGAGGACGTGCTCATCAAGCTGACCCGCGTGCTCGCCAACCTGGCCATCCACCCGGGCGTCGGGCCCCCCCTGGCCGCCGACCCGCAGGTGGTGGGGCTGCTCCTCGCCACTCTGGGTAAGGCCCTCGGCCCGGCCCGCGGGCTGTGGTGCACATAGGCAGCTGCCCCCTGCAGCAGGGACAGCTCTGTGGGCTGGGTGTGTGCAGGGTTTTATTCGTACAGTCAGCTCACTTTTTTTTTTCTCAGCCCCGTGAAAGAAAATTCCTCTTCTGTAAGGAAATACCTCAAAGATAATCCAGATTTTTTTAAAAATGAAAAAAAAATAGTAATATGAATTACTGCTAAAGCCCACGCTAAGAGGGTGCATTTTATGGTATGTGAATTACATTGCAGGATTTAAAAAGTATTCCAATCAAGTTACCAAAAACTGGCCACAATAACCACCAAGGGTTTAAAATCCCAAATGTTTCCATGGTTAGCCCACATGATTAACGTTTACTTTTCTTTTTCAGGTTGTCACGTTATTTGTCATTACAGCCCCAGGTGGCCCAGGTCCTATCTTTCCCCTGCATTAGTCAGCTCAAGCTGCCATAACAAAACACTACAGGCTGGCTCGGCTGGCTTACAAACCAGGCATGCATTTCTCAGCGTTCTGGAGGCCGGAAGCCCAGCCTCCGGTGCTGGCCTCTCTGGTTCCTCTGGTTCACATGGCCTTTCCTCAAGGTATGCAAAGGTGTGCACGTGGAGAGTGAGAGAATGCCTCTCTCTTCCTCTCCCTATAACGCCACCAGTCCCACCGGATAAGGACGCTACCCTTAGGACCTCATTTAACTTTAATTGCCTCTTAAAACCCCTGTTTCCAAATGCAATGCATTGGAGGTTAGGGCTTTAATATATGAATCTGGGGAAGTGAACACAATTCAGTCAATAGTATTCTGCCCCTGGTACCCCCAAATTCACATCCTTTTCATATGAAAAATACATTCATTCCTTCTCAGCAGCCCCAAAAGTCTTAACTCATTCCAGCATCAACTCTAAAGTCCAAGGTCCATAATCTCATTGAAATGTCATCTAAATCAGATATTGTGTGACTTGAGATACGCCTTAGCCTGAGGGAAAAAAATTCCAGCTGTAAATCTGTAAAACCAGGCAGGTTGCGTGCTTCCAAAACACAGTGGTGGGGCAGGCACAGGTTAGACATTCTCGTCCCAAAAGGGAGAAATAGAAACAAGGTTTTGGTTGTCCGGCTCCAAGCAAGTCCGAACGTATCGAGTAACTCCATCTGAGCACACACCCTGGTCCTTCAGCCAGCGGCGCTCCCACCCACAAGGCCAGCACGGGAGTTGGGACATAGTAGATGCTCCATGAATACTTGGAGAAAGACGGAATAAATGAGAATATGTTTTCTGTAGCACATGAATGACTGAATCTTCTTTTGAATGGAGTAAGCTATAAAAGGCCGTTCTCTCTCATGAAAAGAAGGCCAAAGGGCGAGAGAATGAAATCAGGAAACATAAGAGCTAGCACGTCCCCTGCTCAGCTCACCACCTCCCTCTTATTCCCTGAGGAAGTTTGGTTTCATACAGGAGGTCAAAGGCACTTCTTAGCCAGGCACGGTCCCAGGTGTGTGCAGGTGTGGGGTAGCTCCCTGCCAGCCTGGGGCAGGGATGGAGGGGATATGCAGGGTCGGAGGTGAGAGGCAGAAGCTTGCTCATGTTGCTGTCGTTGGCTCAGTGTAACCAGTGTGACTTCCTCGACTGCCAGACCTCATGTCCAGCTTCCCCCTCACCAAATGCGGGGACTTCAAAGGCAACTCAAGATATCAAAGCTCAACTCGTGACCTTCTCCCCAACCGGACCCTCTTCCGGGTTATGTTCATCCACTTACATAATTCAGAAGCCAGGGATCCCACGGGGGACTCTCCTCCCTCACCCCCCAATCTAGCCTTCACCTCATGCTCTCCGTTTTCCTCCCGAAATAGTTTCAGCCTGTCCACTGTGCTCCATCCCCACCACCACCCAAGCCTAAGCTACATGGTTCGGCATCTGACTACCACAGGCGGCTTCTCACTGGCGTCCTCGCCTCTGCCCTTCTCTGCACTGTGGCCAGATAAGTCTGGAGGCTGAGTGGAAGGCAGGGGCAGAATTACTGAGGGGCTGTGCGCTAAGTTAAAAGGTTCATTCACTCCTTCATTCATTCAGTCAGTCACGGATTCATTCACCTATTCTTGCGTTCGGCAACTAGTTATTGAGCACTCCCTATATGACAAATGCTGCTTAAGATGCTGGGAACGTAGCAATGACTGAAACGGATGAATTACTATTCCTCGTGGAACTTAAGTTTTAGGGCTAGAAGACATATGTTAAACATATAAGTCAAGTGGTCACGTGTTCTATGGAAAACATTGACGTTGGGTCAGGAGCAGAGAGAATGATGGGTGCCATTATATACAGGGTGATTAAGGAAACTGTCCAATAAGGTGACATCTGAGCAACAACCCAAAGCATGTGAGGAGTGAGCTAAGTGGGTAACCGGGAAAAGGATACATTCCAGACGGGGGAACAGCCGTGCCAACATCCTCAGAAAGGCTCATCTGCCATGTTCAGAAAGAGCACACAGACCAGTGCTGTCGGTCCGGGGGAGCTGGGGGCTGGAGCAGCAGATGCGGCCAGAGAGGTCAGGACTGGGGCAGCCCAGAGAGGGTCTGGGGGCCAAGTGAGAGCAATGATGTTATCTGACTGACTTTTAAAGGATAACCTTGCTGAGGATAGACTCAGGGAGGCAAAGGTGGATGAAGAGAAGCCAGTTAGGGGTGAGAGACAGGCTAGATCAGCCGTGGGCAAACTACGGCCCACGGGTCGGATCCTGCCCATTTGAAATGAATAAAACTATTGAAAAAAAAGGCCGTACCCTTTTATGTAATGATGTTTACTTTGAATTTATATTAGTTCACACAAACACTCCATCCATGCTTTTGTCCCGGCCCTCCGGTCCAGTTTAAGAACCCATTGTGGCCCTCAAGTCAAAAAGTGTGCCCACCCCAGGGCTAGATTGTAGCAGAGCAGGTGAGAAGTGGCCAGCATCTGTGTGTTTCGGGTCAGGGTGAACCAGGGGGCTTAGAGACGGCTGCGCTCACTGGGGCGTTGGCACCCTTGCTTTACAGCAGACATAGGCCCTGGACTTTTTCAGACCCCTCGGTTGGAGGATGGAACTTAGTGTTCTAAACCCTGGGCAGGAGGAGGCCCCTACATGTGGCGCATTTCCCTGCAGGAAGAGCCATGGAAATAAGGCAGCAAACAGCACAGACCTTGCCCAGCACAAGACCTTGCCCTGCACAGACCTTGCCCAGCACAAGGGCACATCCCTGCTGCCGCTGGGGTTGTGGCTGCCGCGAGGACGGCACTGTTACTGCCCCTGCGATGCGTCTGTGACACCCTTACTTTGTTTCAGAATACAAGTCAATTGACGACTGTGAGGAGCTGGTGATCAATACTACAGCAACAATCAACAACTTATCTTACTACCAAGTGAAGAACTCTGTGATTCAAGAGCAAAAGCTACATGTTGCTGAATGTAAGGTTCAGAGTTGGGTTTGGGTAGAGGCATGTTCATCGAAGGTTTTGACTTTATTAACTAAACACAGTCCTAGAACCATTCATATCTTCTCATTTCCTGGCACAAATATCTAAGAGCCTGATTTGATTCTGGGAAATTAGACTGTGCAGAAAAGTTAGCTTCTTAATTCTTGCTGAAGGCCCCTACAGTTTGCATTTTATTATCATTTTTAATTTTTGAATTATCAGTATTAGTATGTACTATGATGATTGTGCTATTGATAATTAGTTTCCA